AATGGCATTTGAAACATATTTAGGTGGTACATAGAATATTTTTATTTTATAGCCATTATTTACTTTTATATGGACTTGAAAAAAGTCACTTTTCTATTTGTAATATGAAGATTCAATTTAAAATACATTTCAGTTTGAAACTGATTTCACTTTAAAATACATTAAATAAAATAAACAGAAAAGCTTTTCAGTCTGTATGTGAGGAACTGAATTTTGGTACATACTGGGTTAATCCATGTATTATTCTCATCATTAAATATACTCTAAGCAAAAGGAAAGATAGTTAGTTTCACTGCTTATGCAAAGCATAGCCGTAATAGTATCAGAGATAGGAAGTATAAATTGAAATGTGTTTACATTTAGTGCATAGGCTTTATTCACAGCCAGAAAATAAGAAAATTACAAAGTAACAAAAATGTTACTTTTTATCAGCATCTAATATTACACGTTCAAAAATGCCTGTATAGGATTATTTTGTACAAAATCACAAAGCAAAATGAATTTGAAAGTAAAAGAGTCACTTGGTATGTATAGTCTATTCCTTTTCTTTGTTCTTTTTTTTTTTTTAAAATCACTCTCAACAGAGTGGTTTTATAGGCAACACATTTTCATTATTTCATTTTCTCTTACACAATTCTGAAGAATTTCACATTTTGCCTTAAATATAATATTCGGGGTGAGTTTCATTCTATTGTCCACATGAATGCTATTTTAACTCTATCCCAACTCTATTTCATTTTTGTGAAAGATATTGAATTGTAAAATTGTCTGTTATAAAGTTGTGGTCCTAATGTAAATGAAAGAAATTTGTAACTAAAAATCTGAAAATTAAAAAGGAACTTGCTATCAGGTAAAAATGATATAGACTAGGCCTATGAGGCCAGCGTTGTAGATATTACACACCACGTGGGCATTATATGCACAAAGTAGCCAACCTTTGTAGACACCTCAAACTCATAGGTTTAATCCTCAGAAAGATGGTATCTATTTCAAATTTTCCACATTCTGATGCCAGGCATCTCACCTGATGCTCAGCTTTCTTGTGAAAGAAATCAGATAAGTCTTTGCAAATGTGAACTTCAATATTATTTCATTCTGCTAGGGTCTGTCAAAAGTTTGATATCAGTAGCAACTCAGCTTCATAGTTTCATCTAGCCATTAAAACAAATCTAGCTAATGGGCTGGAATCATAGATTGGCTTTCATGCCCTCTGGTGGACGCTCAAAGAAATTGCTACACTCATTAGTGAAAAAGAAAAAAACAACCTTCATTTAAAAAATAAATATTTTTGGTCCGGTGCTATGGCTGCCACCTGCAATTCCAGGGAGACCGAGATGAGTGGATCACCTGAAGTCAGGAGTTCGAGACAAGCATGGCCAACATGGTAAAAAACCATCTCTACTAAAAATACAAAAATTAGTTCGGTGTGGTGGTGCATGCCTGTAATCCCAGCTACTTGGGAAGCTGAGGCAGGAGAAT